GGCACCATCTTCTCTGCAGCCGTTACCTTGGTTGCTGTCCGAGGCAAAGGAACGGGCCGGTCACTTCGGCTGTTCATAACGCTCAGGGGAGCCCCAGGGGGCGATCCTTCTTTCGCGTGCTTCCGCCCGCGCGACGCGTTTCCCCGGCAACGGACCCTGCCAGGTGACTACGACAGAACCCTCAAATCTGAAGAAACCCCCAAATTCCCTAACGAGGTGTAACTATTTCCCCACCGATATTCTAATTCTTCGCATTATGACCCAAAAGTTATGTTGGTGTGGTACAAACATCGACGGACGCTTTACCGGCACGTTTACGCAGCTGTCAGGATCTGAAACGAAGACCGGCCTTCTTTAAAAAAAAAAAAAAAAAAAAAAAGCCCCAACGCGGAGAGGAGGCGCGTAACGTTTTTGCGCGTGCGCATTAGACGGACAGGAAGAGGAGCGCGCATGCGTGTCCCAAATAACGAAACGAGGCTGGGCGTCTTGGGCGATCTTGAGCGTTCGCTTTTCTCCTTTGGACTGCGGGGGGAATATCCAGACGACACCATGGGGAAACTGAACGTGGTTTTACTCCGATACCTTTCCCGGGATCATTTTAGGGTCCTCACGGCGGTAAGACTGGGCTGGCGGATTCAGTTTATACAACCCAGCGGACGGTTTGAGGTCTGAATTGGTCGGGACGGCCACGTGGTCTCCTGCTGCAAGAGATTTAGGATGGCTCCGGGTAAAAAGTGCTGAGACCGGAGTGGAGGCGTGCGACCCTCCAGATCAGGGGTTCTCAACCTTGGCAACTTTAAGACTTGTGGACTTCAACTCCCAGAATTCCTCAGCCAGCTTTGCTGGCTGAGGAATTCTGGGAGTTGAAGTCCACAAGTCTTAAAGTTGCCAAGGTTGAGAACCCCTGCTCCAGATGTTCTTAAACTTCCAGAATCCTTCGCTGTTAGGCATGCTGACTGGAATTGTTGGGAGTTCAGGAACATCTGGGGCTTCCCCATCTGTTTACAGATGAGGTGCCGTTTGTTTGTTTTTTAAAAAAACATAGATAACATTATGTTGACTTACCTTAAGTCTGTCTTTGGGAAGATGATCGAAGGCAGAACTCCCCAAATACTGAAATGCCAAAAGAAGAAAAACGCCGGTCTTGTCCTCTTGAGTCCTTATGGTACCGTTTGCCGTTCTTTTTTCTTATAATTTCAGCTACATGCTATTAAATTAAGGGTATATATTATATACTTATAATATATAAGGATATATATTAGTATGTATCCTATATACTAAGGATATTTATCCGTGTAGTAGAGCTTATTACTGGTCTTTCCTATTACCTTTTATTATCTATGATTATCACTTGGTTGTTTGTCTTTACATTGAGAGCTTATGCACTGGAGATAAATTCCTTGTGTGTTCAATCTATTCTATTCTATTAAACTTTAACCCAGTCTTCCTGAGGATGGTGCAGTCTATGACTTTCATTTTCTCCAATTATCCCAAATGTTTGGTGTGAATTAGTTGCTTTTAGAAGATACTGAGTTGGGATTAATCTGAACTCGAAGTAAGGACTGCCAAGAATTTGTTCTCTTATTCATTTGCCTTGAGAATAACATTTCTAGACTAAACGATCTATATTTTATCAGAATATCAATGTTAAAGGAAATACATACATTCAAAATATACGTTAATACATATAGGATACAATTAAGAGTAGAAAAGATATTAACTTAGGCTTATCATAATAAAGTTTGTATTTATTCTTTCTTTTTATTATAGGTAGAAATGGGCATGAAGAATCATGAAATAGTCCCTCCTAGTTTGATTGCTTCCATTGCCAGTCTTAAACATGGGGGTTGTAATAAAATTCTGAAAGAATTAACAAAACACAGACTTACATCTTATGAACGAAGTAAAAGTAAGTATAAATGTTTTTATTCTTCTGTGCATGTATGTGTACACCTACCAACAAAGTTAGTTTGTATTAATGCATTTTTACTATCATGTTTCAAATTATATAAATAAGAGAAAACAGAGGATTTGTCATCATTTTAGATACATTCACTCCCCTTTATACTTAAGTACAGAGCTTATGTTGTACCTTAGTATATGGGAGCTTTCTTTTGAATTGAATAAACAAGTATAAGAGGTTGTTCTAAGATAAACTATTTTGAATCCTTTTACTGATTTAAAATGGTTTTCCCAACTTTTTGTCCTTACATTGCCTTGGGCTACAGTGCTCAACGCATTCAATAGAAGAGAATATATAGTATGTAGCTTGGGGTTGAACTATGGAGTTTGTTCTATCTGAGATTGGTTATTGCAATCAACTTGATTGGTGCAACCAAGCTCAGAAAATATCAAGGCCTCCATAGTCGTGTTTATTTTTTTGAATGCCATCTCAGTGGCTAGGTAAGTCTAAGCAGTTTACAGATTCCATTTAGAAATAATAGATATTACCATAGAACTAATAAAAATAAAAAACTGACATAATGTATACTACATGTCAGGAAAGATATCCAACTCTTATTATTACAATAACTACCAGGGAGCAAATCCCTAGATCTCCTGGAAAGCCAACTTTTCACAGCTGTACCACATCCTGTTCCACAGAGTAAGCCCATTTACAGAGAATATATGCCTTGGAATGTCCATAGGTTGACAGTGTCGTACAGCTCAGATCTGGAGCTTATCAGTCCTTCCAGATTGTGTTTGTCAAGCAGAAACAACAGGATGATTGGCAACATTAGGAATTATAGTTCAATATAATTGCAGGGTTATATTATCAGAAGTATAATCATATTAAGTTATTAATATATCCATATTTTAATTTTTCAGCTGTCCAAGGTTATCGATTAACTAATGGAGGGTATGATTACCTTGCCTTGAAAACACTGACTTCCCGAGATATGATCTGTTCTGTTGGGAACCAAATGGGTGTTGGAAAAGAATCAGGTATTTTAAACACTAGTTTAATTGGCAGTGAAAAGGTGGGAAAGTTATCATAAACTTTTTCGTAAATTCCCCCCCCCCACTCCTCCCAAATGCTGACTGTTGAATGCTGACTCTCTGCTTAGTGATAATGTGTATATGTATGAATGAAATTTTGTCTTAAAGATATTTACATTGTTGCAAATGAAGAAGAAGAGCAACTTGCATTAAAACTGCATAGGCTCGGGAGGACCTCCTTTCGGAACTTGAAAAACAAACGTGATTACCATAAACACAGAAATAAGATGTCCTGGCTCTACCTCTCCCGTCTTGCTGCAATGAAAGAATTTGCCTATATGAAGGTACTACTTATATATCCCTGCTTGATGACCCAGGGTAATTGTAATTGAGAATAAGATGCATCCAAGTCTCGATTGTCTTCCTATAATTTCCTTTTCACTCATTAAAATGATGGTTTGATTTGGAATGGCCAGGGTTTAATAATAATAATGATGATGATGTTGGAAGGGATCTTGGAGGTCATCTAGTCCAACCCCTTGTTCAGGCAGGAAGCCCTATACCATTTCAGACAAATGGCTGTCCAGTCTCTTCTTAAAAACTTCCAGTGTTGGAGCATTCACAGCTTCTGGAGGCAGGTTGTTCCACTGATTAATTGTTCTAACTGTAAGGAAATTTCTCCTTAGTTCTAGGTTGCTTCTCTCGTTGGTTAGGTTTTTTTTTTTTAAGCTACTTTTCTGTTTCTGATAAGTCTTGTAAGAATCATCATGAGCTTATTGTTTGAGTTCATTTAGCTCATCCATAATTGTGATTCACAACTAGATTTACCAATAAGTTGTATTGTTTTTTATTTTTTCCTTTATTTTGTCTTTTACTGTTATTTTATTTTTGTTACTTTTGTTCTATTTTATTAAAAGCAAAAAAAAATAGATTTTACCATTATGTGGTAGCAGAGTAATAATTAAATTTTATAATAATGGCTACTAAACATGGCTGGCAGATTAGAATTTCCATAATATTCATGGAAACTAAATCCAAAAATCCTTTATTGTGTTCTGGCCACTTTTATTTCCATAAAGAATGCTACAAAGAGAAAGATGCAGAGAATACAACCAAAACAAGATAGAAATTGAAACACATGCCATATGACACAAATAAAAAATACAGGGTTTATAACATTTTGGGATATTAATAAACAGTTTTCTTCTATGATATAACCATAGATTTTGAGATCATTCAAATCAGGAAAATTAGACATGCAAAAAAAACCCACCCCAACTTACAAATTTGCTGTCACAGGATTGTGGCGGACATCCTTGAAAAGGGATCAGACAAATATATGGATGTGACTAGTAATGGCTGCTAATTACTATGTTTAAATGGCTATACCCCATTTAAAAATACTGTGTATGCTAGCAGATAAGCCCATCCACGAATAAGTTGATCCTTGAATTTTTAATCAAAATACCATGAAAAATGTGCTTTCCACACATAAGACAACCTGCATTTTTCATGGTACTTTGGTTAAAAAATTGTGGATGGGCTTCTCTGTGGCTGTATACAGGATGTACGGCTATTTTATACTTTTAAAAAGTATTGTCAAATATACTGTCTTATAAGCTCATTCACAGATGAGCCAGACTCAATTTTAGGGGTATATTCTGGCATCTAAAACTATTAGCTTATCCACCAGTATATATGATAATTTATTTTAGTATCATTTGTTGAAGAGCAAGTCCAGACATTTCCTTCAGTCAATGTTTTTTTGAGTAGCCACCTTAAATGAAAGGGATCTTTGGCCTGATATAACAATGCCACTCCTATATTTGTGCATAATTTGTAGAAATGTGTTTGGGCTATTCACCAAAATTAATGTAATAGAACAATTATTTCCCCTTCAGAAGGAAATTTATTTACTCATGTTGTCTGTGTGTATTTCTTTGGTTCTTTCCTCCTTGACCAGGCTTTGTATGACAGACAGTTTCCTGTTCCAAAACCATATGACTACAACAGACATGCGATAGTAATGGAACTTGTCAATGGCTACCCACTGTAAGTATCAGTGCTTGCCTGGCACAGACCTGTTAAGACTCCTTTACTTCCAGTATGGTAAACTGATAAGCTGTCAGACACTGCTATTTGAAAAAAACACAGAAATAGTTATTCTCTTCAGGACACATTACAGAAGGAATAAGCCAAAATATGCCAGTTGAATTACATTGAACTGCCCTCATTTAATGTAAACTTAGCTGGCTCAGGAATTCTGGGAGTTGAAGTCGACGAGTCATAAAAGAGCCAAGGTTGACTACCCCTGATGTAAACAATTACCATTTTAATACTACTAGGTCTCCAACTAGATAGTATTGGCATAAATGGCTCTTTCCCCCACACTTTATGGTTGGCTTAAATTAGAAATGGGTAAGTTTGGGAAACATTGTGTTTTTTTCTGATGTTTTTAATTTTTTGAAAATGATGTAAAATACTTTATTTTAAATAATATATAAAATGATTAAGGTAAGCGCAGTACTCCCAAAATAATTTCTCAAAACTATCGAAAATTATTATATTAGTAATAGGAGTAATGCAGTTTACCATATTGGATGTTAAACATTTTCTCGGTTCCTGTAGATGTAGGATGAGCTAAACAGCATAGTTCTCAAATGCACCGAGAGGAAAACTCTCTTCCTTCCTCCAGTGAACGCTGACATGGTCACAAGAAAACTGCATCCTCCTTCCTGATAGGGTTTTATCTTGTTGATTTTTGATGGAAGAATGGGTGGGCCTGTTCCTGTCTTCTGTTCGGCTGCAACATAATGAGAGTAGTTGAGACACTGGCAGCAGGATTGATTTACTTATACTTATTTTAAAAAAAAAGACTGAAAGGAAAAGTAATGCCCAGTTCTCCAACATTCTGATTTTTAAACATTTAAATACCTGCATAGTTCAGAGTTAGAGAGATGGTAACTGCTAAATGGCTTGACTTGATTGCAGTGATGATGGGTACATAGCACAGATCATTCCAAAGAAGGTCTACCCATGTGGCTGCTAAGAGTTGATACCAATTTGATGCATATAGACACTATAGCTAAATGCTAAAGTGTGTAATAAAACAAACTTCTTAACAAAGCAGTGAATTATTTCAAGAAGCCCTGCTTATCTTCTCCAAAAAGATTTTCAAAGTGAATGGTTACTGCGGCATACCAAGCATTGTGCTAGTAGTAATTTTTTTTAGCGCTAAACTATTAGCCCTTTCCTTTTCAAATGACGGTGTCAAAGATACTGTATCTTCAGCCAGTGCCACTATTTCATTTTTCTTTTCCATTCATGCTTCAAACTTATTTGCTAGCATGGTTGCCACTACCAACAACATAACCTTTTTTTTGGTATTTGATTTTATTTTGGTAAAACAGCTAATGTATATGATGTAATTCAGTATATGCATCTAAAGATTGCAATCATTAGTGTTCCTCCTAAAAGACAATGCCCAGAACTGGCAGAATATTCTAGATAGAGAGTAGAGAGGAATAATGACTTCTTTTGAACTTGATGCTTTACTTCTACTAATAGAATCTAGGAGTTCCTTTGAGTTTTCTGCATTACACTATTAGCTCATGATTAGCTTGTGATTCCACCAAGACACCTAGATCCTTCCTGCATATGCTGCTGTCCTGTATGATCCATACTATACATATTTATCATATTGTCTAACCCAGGGGTGTCAAATTGCCAGCCCGTGGGCCGGATGCATCATAACAAAACCGTCACCACCCCATTGCTGGCAATGGCAAAAAAGTCACAATATCTCGCGACACGTCATGTGACATTGCGAGTTTGACACCCCTGGTCTAACCTTATGTTGAACAGTGTGGAGCCCTGAAATGTTCCACTCAAGGCTTCCCTTCACCCTTTTTGCTTTTTGTTATGGAAGGAGAGAGAGAGATTCTTCGTAGTTCTATGTTTTCGTGTGTTGGAAAAGTTTCTGAAGATAAATGGTTGCTACATGCAGTTGTGACTCATACCATATTAATATTGTAGAAATTTTCCACCTTATTTTTCAGACAATATATTTTCATTGCTGGTTATTCTTTGTTAATTCAACTTCTTTGTTGTCTTGACCTTGCTCTAATGTGGAGTTTCTGACTGGTATATGTAGATAAATGCTTAGACATATATACGTATGCATGCACACACACACACAATTGCACATACATTCAGGCTTATTTATTGCTAAGTGACTGGTATCACCTGTAGGGTTTATTGCACCTGAGTGGACCGCCTTGTGTTGACGTAACAGGGAAACTGAGCAGTGCATATTATTTTGACTGAGTTTATAATTTTTTCTGCTTTCCATTGTTGTTCTAGTGAGATTTTTTTTTCTCTTCAGGCAATTATATTCTAATGTGATACTGTTTTTCCCTATTACTAAATGGAGCTTCTATCTTACATTTTTTTTAAAAAAAATTATGTAGGTGTCAAGTGCATCATCTTGAAGACCCTGCATTCCTATATAATGAGTTAATGGAATTAATTGTAAAACTTGCCAACCATGGCTTGATCCATGGTGATTTTAATGAATTCAATCTCATGTTAGATAATAAAGACCAGGTTACAATGATTGATTTCCCACAGATGGTATCAACCTCTCATCCAAATGCTGAATGGTGAGTAACTTCTTCATGTAAATAGTGTATGTGGCTCAACTAAGTTGCCCTGATTTAAATTTCAGCTAACTCAGCTTACATTATTGCAACTAAGCTTTGCTGAACAATAATGGCTTGTTCACTACATTCTAGTTGGTAGCTTACAAACCAGTAAATCATAATCATGGTAAAGCAAAACCAAAGCACTTGATGCATTAACCACTATGTAAAATAATTTATTTTTAAGAAGTTCAAATAATTATTTTTGTAACTTTTATTTTAAAAATTATTGTAAATTTGCATTAGAATATATCCAAGAGCTTTTTCCTAATTTAATAATGCCATCTGGAATTTCTGTTTTCATTCTTGAGCTTAAACAATTTTAAACAATTTTTTAATTGTTCTTATTATAAAGTTTGTTCCATGGATATTTTAATGCTTTATTCTAATTAAGCCATGAAGAGTCTTATAGATAGTGGCTAGATATAAATGACAACCTTTTAATAATTTAATTCAGGTATTTTGACAGAGATGTGAAATGTATACGTGATTTCTTCATGAAGCGCTTCCGCTATGAAAGTAAACTATATCCAACTTTCAAGGATGTTAGGTAAGCTGTATGGTATATTAAGACATGAACATGTATTTCATTCTTTTTAATCTTCTTCCATAGTACTGAGTATACAATATATTAGCAGTGTTCTTCAGCCATGCTGGCTGAGGAATTCTGAGAGTCGAAGTCCACAAGTCATAAAAGGGCCGAGTTTGAAGACCCCTGCAATATACATTGAGATTTTACCTATAGGTATATTTGGCGTATTAAAATTTATGTATGAACCATGCCTCAATGAGAAGCGGTACAAATTCTTATCTGCTTCGTCAGCCCTATAGGATTTTGCTTTAACTATTACATTAAATTGTATCTGTTAAGGACCCATGTCATGTATTGTGCTTCACATGCTAATGTAATTTTTTATTAATCATGTAGAGGATTGACTTAACACAAGGTTTAAAGTAGCTATTCTGTAGTAAATTGATGCTGTTAATCTATTCCTTTCATTTATCTATAGTATGTTCTGGAGTTTCAAGATGTTTATTTTTTAAACATTTTGGGCAATGTTATTAAAATCAATAACTATGAATCAAATTCTTCGTAGAAAACAATGTGTACAAACAAGCATTCTTTTTTGTATGATCATTTACTTTGCTCTACAGATAGGCCTCGGTAACTTTTTTCTTACTGTATTATGAAGGGAACCCATTGTTCCCATTTACTTCCAGTTCCCACTATCATTTTCACTTATATTTAGACTTTTTGTTGATCTGAATGAAAATATCCCTCTTTTTCTTTATAATCATTATCTAACAAAGATTCGTCTTCCCTTCCTCCATCCTCATTTTGAGAAAATAAAACATTGAGTCCATTTACAATACACAACTAATAATTATTTTAGTAATTTCTAGAAGTCCATCTCAAGATCACAATTCTTTTTTCCTCCTCTCCTTTTGGAAAGATTATAAATAAGATTATAAATAAGCAATGGAGGTTTTTTTGGGGTGGGGGGGAAGTATTTTGATTTGAGTATTACTTGAGAAATTATTTTTGTTTCACTTTATTTCAACATTACCAGGAAAGAGTGTTCCCTTGATGTTGAAATTTCAGCCAGTGGTTACACCAAAGAAATGCAGGAAGATGATGAATTACTTTACCTGGATTGCCCTCAATATGAGAATTGTAAAACTGAGACATTTTCTGATGTGCAAGATCCAGAAGGAGAGATTGCTTCCTGTAACAGCGTAGATCAGATGACTGATGGGAACTTCATACATGAGATAAACGGAGCTTCAGGAACTTTGCTGCAGATCCCTGAGGAAGACAGTGCAGATGAAGAGGAAGGCAGTTTAGATTTGAAGGGATTCAGCTGTGCCTTACAGCAGATTGGAGGGCAGGTGATGACCAACGAGAAGTCTGACTCTGAAAGCTCTGTCGTTGATTGTCCTGGTGATAAAAAGAACCTTGAAAAATCTACCCAGTTGGAAGATCAAGTGGTTGAAGAACATGAAGATGAATGCTCCAGTCTGGTTGATTTGTCTACGTTAAACAGGGAATTTAGACCTTTCAGGTAGAGAGCTATATTAAACATTTGGAAGCTTTCTTTGTATTGTTTCTTTGTTTTGCTTTTCCAGAAGGTGAGCTCCTCTCTCAACATTCTCAAGTATTAAGCATATATTCTTTGCCTAGATAGTGTTTTTCAATGGTGAGTTTGTTTCAAATGTTGGCACATACTCTGAACTTCCTTTTAACTTCCTTACGTTTAATACGCTGTTTCGCAGGCTACAAAGTCACCAGGTTATATCGGTATTTCTTAATTGATCCTGACGTGAAAATGTTAAAGCTTTGCAGATTTCCCATTAATATATATTGATAATTTAAATGGCAGCTTGTGTTTGATCAGTTCATGATGGAGGAACATGGATCCTTTTACTTTGACATAAACTGTCATTTCTTATTTCTAAGAGCTACAAAAGTAGTAATTTGGGGGGGGGGGAATAAAGGAGCTAAGCACAAAATAAATCAGTTGGACCTGGAAGAATACCTACTTATTTATGTTTTTTTAAAAAGTTTAAAAAACCCCACCACTCTACCAGAATTTCTTGCTGCTAAACATGGGCAGTTGAATGTTTTCAAGGGTGGCAAAAATGCAGGCAGGGAGATTGGGTGGGCCACAAGTTGCCTCTCTTGCTTTATTCCATCCATTTGTTTCAGGTTTTCAGGATCTGTTCTGTGTACCCAGAAAGTTTTAACAAACAGTTTTACTGAATACTAATCAGCTTGCTCGTCTTACATAGAGAAGTGGGTTCTCCAACATAAGATTACTATATCCAAATAATGCCTGCCGTGGAGATGAATACATGGTGTGGGTGGCAAGACAAAGGGTAGACGGTTATGTAGCTGCAAGATGAAGAGGTCAGGCTAAGTCAGTCTCCTGCCAGTTCACCAACATTTAAAAACAACTGTATGTAAGAACATTTGGAAGGCAGGTGTGAATAACCCTAATACTCAATAAACCAGATTACTTTAAGACACTCGGAGAACAACCTCCATTCCCTTACTTAGCAAGTTTTGTAGTGAATTCCTCGGTGCATTATGTCCATGAACAAAATTGGTATTGTGGAAACAGCCTTTGTGAATGTCACTGTTCCAGTGTGTTTGCATTGGAAAAGCCATTTGGCAGAATGTGGTTTAAAAGTGAGTGATTAAAAATGTTTCTTATTTCAGGGATGAAGAGAGTTTGTTTCATGTCAATCAGCACAGGACAAGAACCACTAGTATGACTTCAGTACAGAGCACAACAAGCCAGTCAACAATTCCTCCTGTAAGTTTTTACATGATGTGTCTCAGAAACTCCTTCCCTCCCCAATCATCTGCTGCCAAGCCTGACTGCAGATTCAGTAACGCTTGTGCAATATAATTTCAGGTGCATTAGATCTTTACTAGGAAATGTAAATGTAAATATTTTTATAATGGTAAATATTTTTTCAGCTATTGTCATCAGTCCAGGTAATGGATAAAACCAATTTATGGGGATCCAAAAGAATTCAGTTTCTTTTTTCTTAATCCTCCATCACCTTATTGTTTTTAAATGAGTTTTATCAAAGAGCAATTAAGATCTAAACAGTTACATTTAATTTTAAATTGTAAAAAAAAAAACCTTTTAAAGATGCTTGTATTGAATGGAATGGAAATGACGTCTAATCTTAATCTTAACACAGATACCTCTTTTGAACCTGAAGGTGTTGATGGGATTATTGAGCTTTTCGAGTTATTTTTATATTCAAGTTAGAATTAAGAGAAAATTATTTTAAATATATATTTTCTGTTGCTCTAGTATAATTTTGTAAATACAGTGATCTACTGACTGCACACAACAAAATAAAATATATTTCCACAAAATATGAAAAATATATTTCTATAAATATTTTGTTTCAGCTTTCTGCATAACTTTATTAATTTATACTTTGCTTATGCTATAGTGCCTTCAAGTGGCTACATGTTATCTGGAGTAATATGAAATGGAGAATACAAAAAAAGCTGAAGCATGCATGGATTTTGAGAATTAATGCTTTACTTTCTAACTAACATTATACAGCATCTTTGTTTGTTAATTTCAATACATGCATCTTCACTGTTTTGATGTTTTGGTAGTATATATAAATAGGAAAAGACCACTACTAGCTCCCTTCCATGCCTAAACAAATTTCCCAGCACAGCTTTCCAAACTAGCACAGATGGGAAGATATGAATTCCTCCTTTGTTTTGGTGGGTGACCAAATGAATGTTGTGTACCCTTATTCCCCACCTATATCATGATCAACAAGATTGAAAGCAATCTACTTAACAAAAGAGCTCCCTCACTTCTTTCATTGCATTGCAAAGAGATTTTCAGAGTGCAATTTAAAAGGCCAAAAGATTGTCTCCCTGGAATTCAGAGATCCCCGAACAAAAGAGGTGGACAAAAAAACAATAACAACTTTGTCTTCTAGAAGGTTTAAGTTCCTTACGAATTACTGCTGGTAAAGTAACTATTGTATTCAGTGTTGTATTCTTCAGGATCCTTCCCTGGAGAATCCTGAGATACAAAGCAAGTTGGAGACAAAAGCTGGCACTATTTTGCAGGAAAAAGAGTAAGGAAAACAAATTGGAGAGAGAAAAAGAGAGAAGAGGGTATAATCTAGTTCCCTATAACATCCTTTTTTTCCTTGGTTATGATTACTGGGATTCCTACAATAATACTGTCCCCTTCAGAGTATTGAAAACTCTGCTTTGGAACAATTTGACCCAGTGATCATTTTTGTATCATGCCTGTGTCATATATAAAATTTAATATTTTTGATGATACCTCCATTAAGCAAAGGTTTCATATAGATTTATTTTGACTGGTCATTCTGTACAGATCCCTAATGTTTTATATCGGTGCTAATTGTATCTTTTTAGGGTTTTTTTTATAATGTCCCTTTCTTGTTTTGGAGAAATAACTTGGAGCAATGTCAGTGAGGATTGCCTCTTTGTCTTATAAACCTGCAATCTGTTTGGTGCTCCAGAGAATTTAATAACTAAATGGGGATTTCAACCCGAAAATAACACTCAGCATTCTTAGCACTTCATCACATTATTGCTAATGTCAGGCTCTCCTTTTTCATATGTAGTACTAGCCAAAGTAAAATTTATGTATTGTAACTATGTTCACTAAATTATTTTGCAATGTTGAATGAAGGGGAAATTTTGATCCTATCTAGTGAATCAGATCTCAGAAAGTAGTTTCTAATCTATTTTGTGTACTTCCTGGGCATTCATTTCTGCGCATAGCCACAAGAGGGACTAATATTCTTCCAAACAATCTCAACACTCAAAACACATATAAAGCGTTTTGCCTCTTTGCATGACTTGCTTATTCTCAAGTACATTGGTATTTTTTATTTAATCTATTACAGGTTTTTGCAGACATCAAGAGAAACTAATGTTAAAGGCTCCCCAGAAATTTTATTTTGGTTGAAATGGATAGCATGTAATTGAATTATAATATTGTAATTGTAATATTTTGATATTTTTTCATTGCAAACAAGATTTAATGTTTTGATAAAACTATTATTTCAGGAACTGGTAAAACAGAAGATAAAACGCCAATTAAATAAACAACAAAAAGCTGCTATCAGACGACGACTGCAGAAAGGAGAAGCTAACATTTACACCAAACAACGTCGGGAAAACATGTACAATATCAAATCAAGTTTGGATTCAGCCAGCTTCTGGGAATGACATCCTATGGGGACATTTATCTTTTTTTCTCCCATCTCACAAGTCAAATGAAATTTGATTTTAAAGAACTACTTGCAGAGAGGGAATGTCCAGGATTCATGAATGTCAACATAAAAATAATCACATCTTCATAGTCTGGCACAGATTTATGTAAAGTGCATGATGACTGTCTTATACAAATGGCAATTGTCTTTTGTGGTAAAACATCACAATGCACATGTGTCAATTGCTGTGGAAATTTAGTCCATTGCTTAGAAAGTCCATTGCATAAGATTTCATTGAAGTGATATATTCCATTCTTATATCCTGAGTGAGATTTTTAAAAATTCCTAAAGTAACAGGCTACATGAGTGTAGGGGAATGATCTTAAACCCATAGGCTAAATTATGGTAGACTTTTCAAGTCAATCCATAACTTGGTTAAAACAAATTGCTATCTAATTTCACTGTGTTTAAATCTATGCAATAGTTGATATAAAACTTTCAATGATGCTTGAATCTTGGAGTTGTAGAAATTTAACACTTGCACAAATATAAAAAAATTAAACCTAAAGTTCTTTTTTCCACATCCCAAAGGTTACCAATATAAACCCTTCCAAACTGTGTCAGATAATGAAAATGATATTGCACAGACTTGCAAGAACATTTCAAAAAGGTAATGAGGTACTGCTAATATTTTTTCATATATTTATTCAACATTTTGAATAACATTTGAGCCCTATAGGTAGGCTTATTTAGCTTATTTAGCCAAAATGTTGTATCTTTAGAATATAAAAAAAAATTGACATGCTTGATCCGATCTACTGTTATTTAGGAAAAACTAATATAAAAATTTGGAAGCATCCCAAAGGCTATTTGGTTTTTTTTAAAAATCTATGATTTGAAAAAACTTTTCAGAAGAACAGAGTAATAAAAAATTAAAAATTTATGTAGGTAATGACTTAAGAGATTGAAAAAAACTCAGTGGAATAAGAACTTTGATCAGAACTTATTTAACAAGTTACATGTGTAACAGAAAATATTGTTCTGTTAAAAGTAATTGTTATTTTTGTATTATGAACACTTATTGCTCTTTAAGAACTTTGTACTAAGAGTGTTTTTGTTGTTTAAAAAAAATGCATTAAAATTAATTGGTATTTTGAAAAATAATCAACTTTCAAGTGGTATTACTTCCTGCAATTAGCCAAAAGCCTAACAGCCATAAATAACCAATGTTCTCTAACTCCAGTTTTATTTAGATTAAAGCTGTCTCTTTATAGATAGAAAAAAGAGTTTAGCCTCAGGTTTTACTGTATACTGTGTCTTTAAGAAGATTTTTGAAATATCCGAAATCTTTAAAAATCATCATGACATTTATATAAAAGATGAACTCTCAACAGTGCTTCATTCCTGTTTCATATATATACATTCAAATTTATTTTCCAGGAACTTTAGCAAACAGGCTAGATGAATAATGTCTGAGCACATTTGTATGCAATAGGTGATAATCTGATAATCTGAGCACAGTTGTATGCAATAGGTGCAAAACATTCCATGAAATTCTTCACTATTTTTCTTACTGCTATATTCAGGATGCCTAACTAATCACTGCAGTCTCAAAAGTTGCAATTGTTTACCCAACTGCTTATTTAATGTTAAATGTGATTTAGGTTTTAGTAGGCTAGTAGAGATTTGTGCTATGAGTTTTAATACTCAGAAATGAAGGAATTAAGTAATGTTTGACAATTAAATGGGACAATTCAATTAAATGGTTATGTAAAATTATTTTTCTTCCAACCTGTGTTAACAAAATAACTTCCCTGGCAATAGTATTAGTTCCAGGTAAACCCTAAGTTTATGACTTACAGATAACAGCTGGGGACAGTTTCTTGATTGGGGTATTGCTTACTTTGGTCTGAAGTTGACCTTGGAGTTAATCTATGCTGATCTGAGTGCTGATTACTGGTGGAGATGCTGGAGTCAAATAAGCAATACCCCAATCAAGAAACTGCCAACAAGCCATTAGTAAACAGCCCAACCAAAGAATTCCCCAAGACTGCCCCCACCCACACAGACAGGCAAGACACCAGAATATAAACCGACAGCAAACAGCTCTCCTTACTAGCACTGATGATGTTACCTAGTTAGGGTAATGAAACGTCTGCAAGAAAACAAGCAAGCTCAGAGCATCAAGGAGGTACAAATATTGATTATTCCATATGAGCCTGCCCAATTTTAATATCCTTGGGGAAAGTCCTCCTTTGAAACCCACAGCTACCAGAAGCCCATTTCTGGGGAACTGAATAGCTTGGAGCCTCTGGAACTACTTTCAGATATTGTTTTGTCAGAGACAAGAATATTTTTATTCAAACAACTTTTGGCATATAAGCCAACTTATATTACCAAAGACATCTGAAATGTGAACGTGCCATTTATTTCTCATTGAAGTATCTTGAATTTTACTTTCAATTAATGTGTAATACTAATTTTGCTTTTAATTAATTTGTAAGGGGGGGGCTTTTTTATATTTTATAAGTCTACTTTTATTTGTTTTTTACTCTTCCTGGCTACCTTGAGTGCTATTTTCTACAAAAACAGTGAAATGTAAATGAAAGAAACAATGTTGGTCTACCAACAGCTACTCTTTGCAATTCATCTTAATGATAAAAGTGATTTTAGGATGAAATTCGGAGGCAAGCATAATCATGAAAAAATATTTGGAGTGCGGCTAAAATGTTTGAAGGTGTCAGGAAATAAAGGAAAGTATTTAAATCCAGGCAGAACATGTTTTCATTTCAAACGACAGCATTGCGAATAGCCTAAGCAAATCTGTTTGCATTTTACCACTGGTTGAAAATGTGAAATTCTATATACCTTTTCAATGTCTTTAATTTTTCCCCTTTGTTATTTGCGTCATGAGGTTGGATTCTTATTTAAGTTAACAGAAATCCAAACTCGGGGTCTGTCGATGTCAGGATGAGAAGAGCCTTTTTTATGATTAGCTTCTCCAGCTAGCCAGTAGGTGGGTGTGTTTCACAGAGGAAAGCAGTAGTCAGCCTCTCACTAATTAGCTCAGCCAACAACAAAGATAAGTGAGCCAGGGAGGGAGACCCCCTGAAGGGTCTTTTGAATCTGGCCAATGTCTGATTGGCAGATGTTGAAAGGGATTCGTTGGTAATCCAGTTCATCAATGAGCTGCATAAATTCAAGACAGGACTGGAAGAATTCCGGCATGTGGGCACTTTGTGGGGGCAGTCTGGAAAAAAGCAGCTCAAGATGGACAGAACTTTGGAATCTCTACAGCACATCATTTCTCAAGTCTTGCCTCACAGAGATCCTACACTAGCATTTAAAGACTGTAAGTACCGAGGTTTCTGCACTACTGAGAGAAATTGCTGAAATCTGTAGGACAGAGACATTGCAAAGGTCTGTTCGCAATATCTTATGTACAGATTCAATATTGAGAAAGATTAAGAGACTACGTATGGTATTTTACTTTCTATCAGTAGCATATTTGACTTTATATTAATTTACTGTTTTTAAAATAAGCCTCTTAGAATTCAACAAAAAAAATCAACTGATGTATGGTTTATTATATTGGGAAATACCTTTGTCTCTAGGTAGTTTTAATGTGTCTTATAAAAGGCTTATTGCAGAATATTAAGACTTCTATTTACATTGTGATCTTTATATGATATCATATATATTTTGTGTCTGGGTGTTATTTTAATACATTTAATACAATTCAGAATCTCAGTAAAATATGATTTTTTGTGATTAGTGTATGTATTCATGCAGACACAATTACTGCATGGAGCTTTTAGTTTCACTGTAGGAAACTCTAAATCGGTGTTAGTATTTGTGCTGTGTTTATTTTTCCTATTAAAGTTTATATTATAATAAATTTAGCTCTAAAAATGCTAGATATCAGTATCTAAAAGCTCTCTTCTATGTAATCTGAGCTTGCTAGTTTTGAATCATGCTTCTAAATATTCAAAGATGAATTCCCTTTTTTTAAAGACTAGGTATTTTACATCTGAAAGGGGATAGGGATCCTGGAATCCTAAGCTCAGAAAAGTAAAATTCCTGAACACTACAGAAAATCAGTTTTGAGCAGTTTGCGAAAAAAATTCCTAAGCTTATTTAAGAATGTTCCATCACCTTCTTTGACATCACTTTTTGTTTACTGTGAGTGTGAGGTGGAGAGACAATGGAGAGAGAAAGAAAGAGAAACAGTCAGTTATCCTAACTTTTCACATTTTTTTTTCCAGAATAACATTTTTAAAAGTAGCTAATCTTGAAATATGTTACCAAACATTAAGGATATGCTTAATTCTTATGTTAAATGACACTGCACAGAATGATTCTTTCTAAACTGAATGGAATTAGGGCTTGAAATAAGCAGCTGGCAAAGAACAGTTATGTATTTGTTACTGCATACATAGTTTGTCAGAAATCAACAGTTATATAAACAAACATGAACAGAACTTCCTTAGCCCACCCAGAAGAAAAGCTCCCTCCTGTTGCAACCATCCTACGTTAGACTGAGTTTTTTTTTTTCTCTGAAACCTTGTAGGAGCAGATGCATCTTATAAAGCAAGACGCATTTGGTGAAGAAAAGATGGGAAGCTTTCTTTCCCCTTCTTTGTGGTGAATTCCTGAAAATCATCAGGCAAGGTTTTGATTGAAAGTATATTTACTGGCCTCTCAGATGGTTACTGTGACCACCCACAGATTATAGGGTGAGAAAATGGCTATAATAAACCAGAAAAAGCACATGTCAAACAAGAAGGGTTTAAAATATCATTTTAATGGAATCTTACCACAAAAGTGGAGCCAATCATCAAAAAAGTACTTTAGTAATCTTCGCACTCTTTGATTATGTCGCTACTTCTTATTTGCTGTGTTATGAACTGACAGCTCTAAATCACTATTTTTTAGTAAAGCAGGGGGTTTGAGAAATCTGGTAATCATATTTCAATATAGGTGGCAAGTTTCCTAAACTTGAAAATGAATGTGGAATCCAGTTATAAGTTCTACAGAGTACTGCAGAAGTATTCAGGGAACTGAAAAGTAAGAGGTCCTCATCAAGCTATTTCTTAGTTGTCCAGTTGTCAAGTTTTCAGGCATGTTATGTTATGGATCTTTAAAGCGTGCTCTTTCTTTGGTAATTATATTTACTAAGGGCAGATTTACATTTTGTATCCCACAGTTTTGACAATTGCAATATTTGTAGAAGTCACAAAACATGTTCCAAATTAACATCCAATCCTGATACTCACTTCCCTCAAAAATCAAGAAGTCTTCTTTGCTGCTGTCTTCATGAATTTTTCAAAAAATTTTGGGTTATCTATGTTGTCACCAGTGGAAGAATTTGCTAGTTATATTATCAAAGAAAATCAAGATGGGAAAATCAGTTTGGTGAAGATTAGTTTGGTGACAATGTCAGTGGGATTACCTTCCAATTCTTTTATTCTGTTAAAAGTTTCTTGTTATAAATATTGGTACTATATAGAGAGACATCTACAGTATGTAGGATATTGTTCTGTGTAATCAGTTCTGCCATTGTTCTGTGTGTAATCAGTTTTAGATAATACCTGAATAGGAGTTACAGCTTAGTGTGGTGTATGCATCATTTAAATGTGCGAAAATTGTCTCTTTCAACTTGGCACTTTAGGCATAGTGATCTCAGAATCCATCATCTAACCTGGATGTTGACATGCTAGCTGAAAATTCCAGGAAGTATCCTAATGCAACAGGAGGACAACAAGATGGAAAGACAGCCTATGACTTATGGGAGTGTTGTTAATTTATGTAAAAATACCAGAGCCAAATTACCAGCCAAGCCCTTCATTCATATTCTAGTATGGCCCTGGACTAGCTTGACTAATTACTGGTAGTCCTCAACTTATCTGTCACTTAGCAACTGTTCAAAGTTATGACAGATGCCTTCAAAAGGTATTTACAACTGACTTCCAAAGTTTCAATGGCTGCCCCCGCCAGGCATATAACTGCATTTCAGGTATTCAGCAACACAGCTGTTTGCAGCATCCTATTGTCACATGACCATGATTTAAAACATTTTTTTGATGAAAACACATTTACTTCCAGTTTTCGGCGAAAATGCCCTTAGAGAACAATTGCTTTGCTTAATGACAGTGGACTCACGTAACAATCATGATTCACTTAATGATCACTGCAAAAAAGGCAGTAAATTCAGGTTGGTCATGTGATGACCCACTTTACGGCCATCACTACTTATGACCATAATGGACAGGTTCCATTATGGTCGTAAGTCAAAGACCATCTGTAATTAATCAGCAGCTGTTTCAAATTGAAAATAGGAAGCCATGTGCTTTTTCTCTTCTTTACAGGGACTTTTCATGAATCTGTGTGGATGGTTGGGTTGATGGAAAAAATATATGTTGGTAGGCAGGCAAAGACACCTGTATAGTTGTCAGGGTCCTAAATGTTGCTCACCTATACAGTAGAAGAAAAACATTATTGTCTCCTTTTATTTCCCACACCAGAACAATTTTGAATTCAACCCATTAGGGAAATGTCTATGAAGATTCTCAGTCATCCAGGATATGGTTGTTCCAAAAGTGCTTTTTCAAAAGGCAACAAGACTTCCTTTGTTTTTTTCTTGAAGACATTTTATTTCTCATCCAGGAAGCTTCTTCAGTTCTGACTGAATGGTGGCAGATGAAAGGATTTATATTTCTTGCAGTCATCCGGTCATTAGCACTCTTTCTGAGAGTTGTTGAGGCCACTTGGAGTTTTATCTATTTTCTCAGGGTCACCTGTACAGTGCAAATGGGTGTGGAACCTTCTTGGAATTGCTAAAAGGATTATGTTGTAAACAGGAGATAGGTGGTGTTGTATCCCTCTTCCTCTGTTGAGAGAGACCTGTTCAGTCTTAATGTAGATGGCCTCTTTGACCCCTCTTTCAAACTAGTGGTCCTCTCTGTCTACATTCCTTGCTTCTCTAGGTTGAATCTGCTCACCTCTAGAAATCAGAGAGTTTTCCTGAGAGTATCATCACTGAAAGAATCACACTACTACTTAGGACTCAAGCTTTCTTGATGATAGTGCCCCCACCTTTGAGGCACCCTACCACCCGTTATTCAAATCATCTCATCTTTATCAAGCTTCCAAAGAGTTGTAAATATAGTAGTCTAGGAGGATATTTTGGAATAAATGAAGACCTTAAAGAGAGATGTATTGTTTTGTTTTGTCATTGATACTATTTACTCGGTCCTATTATTATGAAGAATGCACTTTGCTGGACATGTGCTCTGTGACATGCAACAAAGACCGCAATCCATTGGATACCACCAGATGGTCGGAGAAAAAGAAAAAGGCCAAACAAAACCTGGTGCCAAACATTTCAGGAAGACCTGAAAAACATCAATCTTAAATGGAAGGATGTGAAGATTGTAGCTGCGCATTGAGACTTTTAGAGTATGCTTGTAGCCCAATGTGCTTAGCACAGGACATAAAAGAACAATTATTATTATATTAATCCTATTCATTTTAGTTTGGTGTAAGCCAATGAAAAGCTTTTGGTGATGATTGGCATATGCATAAAAGTAAATAAACTGTTTTGCTTTTGTTGTTATTCCTGTATCTATATAGCTATTGCAGTATGCATTTTTCTCTTCATTTCATTTAATATGTATGTGCAGAGCCGAGAATACTTTTTGCAGCTTCAGTGTGAGGTATTGGTTAAATTATAGCCCCTAATGGGAGGCAGCTGCCAGAAGGTGAACATTAAAATTATGTATGTTTAAATTATCTAATTTTACTTATTACATGCTGCAGATTGATTGAGGAAATGGAAGGCAATTTTAGTAGCCTTGCATTAAAGAATCTTCCTTTAAAAAAAAAAAAGAGGGTGAGGGGACCTTGAATATATACTAAACTCCAAAGGACTGTTATTTTTCCTACTCAATAGTCAAACGGTTATTTAATATTAATCTGACAAGTTAAATAAAACAACCTTTCTGTTGAAAAGTCTTTTTACAATTGACTAAGCAGAAAATATACACTGCTTGTCTTCTTTATAAATGGTTTTACTTGTGACCATGAAAGAGTCTCAGGATTCTGTCTCAATACCAGATACAGCTAGGAAGGCTGCAACAGGCCTCTCTGCCCTAACATTCCTTCATCAGTTCTAACAATTCATTCCTCAGCTTTGGGTGGTTTCCTTCACTTCTGTGTGGTCTCTTTATTGCAATTTAAACCTGAGACTATTATCTTCTTTGCCTCTTTGATGCTTTACATAGCCAATGTAAGTCTCTATTAATTTTGCTGATTTCCAAGGGGCCCACTTCCACTTGATTGGTAAGGCCGCTGACCTAGGAATTAAACCTCCATTGAAAACAATATTTTTTGCAAGCAATCTTAAACAGAACTATTCCAAAACAAAGATGTTCTTGGTGGTGTATCATTTTATCAACAAGAACATAAGGGAAAGGAAAGGATAGGTTCCAGGTTACATGCTTGTTAAAAGAAATATTTTTCATTAAAAAATAAATCTTTCCCAAAACATAGTGGAAAAAAAATCAACCAAACAATCATTTTTATATGTTCTCTACTTTGTAATGAATGGTCAAGAATAAACATGATTGTCCTTCAAAATATGAAATCCTTGTAGTGACACTGCTTGGAAACAGATAGATAGGTAGCTAGGTAATAGGTAGGTAGGTGAGAGAGAGAGATAAAGATACGGAGAGGGAGGGAGGGAGGGAGGGAGAGAGAAAGAAAGAAAGAAAGAAAAAGAAAGAAAAAAAGAAAGAAGAAAGAAAGAAAGAAAGAAAAAGAAAGAAAGAAAGAAAAGCTAATTTTCTTGGTCTGCAGGATAATTTTGTTTTCCTAATTCACACATCTTGTTCCCCTTCCATATTGCAACTGTAAGCCCAATTTGTATATGGCAGCATAGTGCACAGAAAGAGATGAACAAATGTCATGACTGGAGGGCCCACAGAAACAGAATCCATGACCAATGCAGTGGTTTCTCTACTGGAAAAGCAGTCATGCTGTAATGGTTCTTCAGCCATTAATATTGACCATTTGATCATTTGTTGTTCTATAAATTGAAGCACATTGATAATGCGTGTGCAAGTAGCAATAAACAAATTGTACAAAGCCATAATGAAGTCTGTTTGTCTTTATCTTTCTAAAATAAGTGGTGCACCAATTTTGGCTTAGAGTTAGCACATGATAGTGCTAAGAGCACTATCATGTGTGTATGTATATGTATGTATTATGCATGTCCTAGCTTTGTGAATGCAGTCAAAATAAATAAAATACAATTTGAGATATACAGGTAGTCCTTGATGTACGATCACAATTGAGCCCAAAATTTCTCTTGTTAAATGAGACATTTGTTAAGTGAGTTTTGCCCCATTTAATGACCTTTCTTGCCACAGTTGTTAAGTAAATCACTGCAATTGATAACTTAGTAACCCAGTTGTTAAGTGAATCTGGCTTCCCCATTGATTTTGTTTGTGAGAAGGTGGCATTATGGTATTCTTATATAAAGCTCTTCAGTATAGCCAGATTATACACATTTTTGAAGTAGCTATCACTATTTTGATGGATGACATGAGGCAAGAAGAGAATAAGAAGTATATAAAATGCATGGAGTTTCAATAACAGTTGAGAATCTATTCGACAGCAATGGCATCATATGGGATTCTTCATCAGAAATTGCATTCTGTTACCACTCAGCTATGTACTAAAGATAGCTATCAAACACTCTTGCTTCCATTAAATTTTAAATGGATCTAAAACAGGTGAGGTCAGCTCAAAGCTAGTCTGAAAGCACATTACTTTGTTGTAACAGGGAGATCAATAAGCTAAAAGGAAAAATGTACGCAACTGATACTTTGAAATATCACATTTGAGCTTTGCTTTGAGGTGTGCCAGTTGTCTTTACGATTAAGGGGAAGAGAACATCCAAACAAGAGGCATGTGGAAACCGTCCTTTCAGCCCAGAAGATATTGGCTTCCTTGAGTTACATTCCATGGACAGGAGAAAGAGATGTAGGAATCTGAATCCTGACTTTGCTATAAATAGATTTTTTTATTTAATATACAGCAGTTGCTGGGATTATTTCATAATAGCTTCATTAGCTGTTTTACAATAAATCTAATCAGAAGTTCTTGTGGTCTGTATATCTTGTTTCCAGTTCATCTTGTTAAGAAAAGTAATAATCTCACAGGATATGATCAAGAATTATTCTCTCTAAATCTGGAGTGCAAGACATGGAATTCTATAATGGATTTAAGTTTGTTTATTTATTCATGATAGGAGCATCACAATTAAAATAAGGCACTATATGACATAAAATTTAAAACATAAAATACAAGATTAAAATGTGTACAAATTAAACAGGTCTTACCCCAAAACTAGCAACATTAATTGTGTTCTGTCATGCTGCCATGAGGAATGGATTCAAGTGATAGGAAGTCAAGACAGATTCCAACTGAGTGTTAGGGAATTTTTTCCCCCCAAAAGTTAGAATAGTTCATCAGTGAAACCAGTTTTCCAGAAAGATGGTAGCCTGCCTTTCCCTGGAGATGTTCAAATACAAGCTGGACAGCCATTAAATTTGTTTTAAACTGGATTCATACACTGAATTATAGGTTGGCCTCAATGACATACTCTGCCTCTTCCAACTTCCAAATCTGAAACATTGAAATAATTCAGCTCCCAGAATTCCCCAGCTAGCATGGCTGACTGAGAAATTCTGGGGATTGAAGTCCATGCATGTTCAAGTTGTCAAGATTGGGAACCCCTGACCTAGACAACTGCTTTCTAGCTACAGGTTGATTAGTTCAACAGCGGCATAACTCTTTCTAAATATTTTGCTTTTAGTATAGTGAAAAGACAATTTTAGGCAATGAATTGTGACTAAAACATTCACTCCTATATTTTGATAGTGAACGTTGTGGCGATGCTTCAGGAATTCTGGGAGAACAAGCAGAAACAGAAAGGTGTATTTTCAAGTGAAGGCACTGTGGTATACGAGTCACTAAACTTGCCTGGGCCTCCGTTTGTAAGTTATGTCACCCTGCCTGGAGGAAGCTGTTTTGGTAACTTTCAGGTAAGAATTTATACTGTAGTGTATTTAATGACAAAGTATGAAATATGGAAGAAATCTGGTTTATCATATACTGAGTTCATCAGAATTATGTCAACATCACGAGAGCCAAAGACCAATACATTTGAAAGGCAATATGGGAAAAAGATCAAAGACCTAGTGAAACCTATATGGAATTTCCCTCCCATTGGAAGCCCAGACCTTTTCCCCATCTGTTCGTCAAGGTCTCCCTATCTTCTGGAACAAATGCTCAGGAGACTTCAGAAGGGTGGAAGAATCAATGATATCATTGTCTCCCTTGCCCATTTTGGTCTGTGGGATTCCTCAACTGGCTTCAAACCTCCTGGAGTTAGAGGATAGTTTCATTTACAAAAAAAAAAATCATTGATACATCTAACAAAAATAGTAACATGTGGAGGTCAGTTGCTAGACAGCTTTTTCAAAGGGAACACTGGCAGATAACAATCACCAACTGAATCCTTTAAATCCAGATATAATATTTGACTCCCTGTTATATAAAAGGCCAAAAAAGGGGACAGTCTTCACCTTCTTATCCATTTCATGTAGACATCTGATGGGATCTGACTTTTTAAAAAAAATCTTCCTAAAGTACAGTGTACAGTCTTCATATTAACTAGAGTATTAGATTATTGGATCTAATACCTAATATTAGATCAGGTCAAGATCACAAAGCAGTCTAGAGTATGTCACATGTGAACAAAGCAAACATGGAAGCTATTCAAGTATTATAGGTTAAGCTTTCAACTTCAGTCCTTCTATATTCTCTCCCTTCAAGCCACCAGCAGTTCAAATATTATATAATTCTATACTGTTTATTTCCAAATGTAGAATCATATATAAATAGTGATGAGTATGAAATGTTCAAAAAAACAGAAATCAGAAAGATGCCTTCCTTTTTAAGAATATGTGTCTAAAGGAAAGCTGTAGACCACTAATACTGTTGTACCTGTAACCTTTAACTGGGTGAAACATTGCAACATAGGACAACCATTTTTGAACCAAGGTGCCTCAAATGTGTCCAAAATCTGACTCCTATTAAATTGAAAATTGGCAAATTTTATAAAACATTTTATACATAAAATTATGTATTTAATGACATTATCATAAAACAGTTTATGACATAATACAAAATATCATAAAACATTTCCTTGCACTGATGTTTGACTGCTATAAGATCAATATGGGCTGTTTTCAAAACAGGTACATCTCTGAATGTATCCCAATTTTTCCAGTGAAGGCAGTCCTGTACATTAGAAGTTCTGTCATTGTTGAAGGTATTGAGGAATCTGCTAAGGAAACATCTCTGAAAGGATGACCCAATGAGTCATGAGTTGTCTAGCACACATCATAATAACAAATGAAAGTTACTCTTCATTGTAAATGCATTGTATTAACAATTCTTCTACCTTGATGCAAATGGGATTGAATTATTTCTCTGAATTTGGAATAATTGTAGTTTTGGCTACCAGGGATTTTCAACTAACAGGACAAACATAATGGGAAGATTGTCACTAGTTTTCCTTTAATTTTTTTCATAAAAATTATGCAATTACTACCTGTTATGCCATCATCACTGTATAATATTTCACTTTGCTTTGCTAACATTTACAACTGTGTCAGTACTCCCTCTATTAGTCTCATCACCTAAACCAAGGTGACAATGGCACTACAAACTCGCAACGTAGTGTGACGTGTTGTGACGTATCGTGACTTTTTTTCCATTGCAGGCAATGGGGTGGGCGTAGTTTTGCAATGATGCATCTGGCCTGCAGGCCAGCAGTTTGACACCCCTGACCTAAACTAATGTCTCCTAAATGCATTACAAAAGAGCTGATAATACACTTTGGATGCTGTTAGTTGAAATGGAACATCCATTCTATTTAGCCTTCTTTATCACAGGTATGATTCATTACTGAGTCTATCGGTGGAAGGCTTGAAAGGGTAATTAGACTGATTAGACAAGATAAGCCTTACGTCCTGTTTAGATGGGAGCCTCTACTTTTTTTAATAGATTGTTTCAGGAACAAAGTAAAGGGAGAAAAAATCCTAATTGCAAGACCAATTTCCAAAAGATGGAAGCGATAACACTGATTAATGGGTTGGCTTTTAATGCAACCCAATGCATAAGATACCTGCCTCCTTTCCTACCTATGAAACATTCTCAACAATAACAGTATACAGGCCGAACACTCCATTCCACTGACTCGGAATCAGAGAAAGAACTTTGAGTATTTCTTTTGGGTGTATGTGAACTATCTTGCCAAGGTTTTTGCAACATCCTCTAATCCAGTGATGGCGAACCTTTTAGAGACCGAGTGCCCAAACTGCAACCCAAAACCTACTTATTTATCGCCGGGTGCCAGGTGGGTGTGGCCCACTGGGTGGGCATGGCTGTGGTGGTCATGGCAGATTGGGTGGGTGTGGCCAAGGTGGGTGCGATCACCTTGATATTGCTCATGGGGAGGGACGCCTGTGGGGGCCAGGCAGGGTTGGGGGAGATCCAGGGGGTCTCTGGCAAGTGGGGCAGTGGGCAGGACGCTTGTCCTGCGGGATGAGGCGAGGCAAGATGAGGCAGGGCGGCAGTGCCATTGTCACAGGGAAAGGTGAGGCAGGGGCCGGGGCAGCTGCTGCCTGACACCATCGGCCCCCGCACACAGAGGCCAGCAAGCGCACGGGTGCTGGGATGTATCTGGCCACGTGGGACCTCGGTGAGTTAGCAGGCGGCTGGTTGAAGAGGGACGGTTGCCATCTCTGGGGCATGGCGTGTGTGCCAAAGAGAGGGCTCTGAGTGCTGCCTTTGGCACGTGTGCCATAGGTTCGCCACCACTGCTCTAATCCATTGATGTTACCTAATAGGATATGGGATTTCAGCATTAAATTTGGAGAAAAGGAAAAAAGCCTATTATAGCATTGCAATGGCTTCACATTAAGACTAGGAAGAATGACATAATTTTATTCTTAATAATTATAGTTAAATTAGCTCATATCTCAGCTAAAGTGCTTTTCCTAATTAAATATCAGTATTGTGTTTAAGGATTTTTTTAAACAGAATCAATTAAAATATCTCTCATGCACATTTGAACAGTAGCTCTGAAAGGTCTGGGAGTAATGAAATTATCTGCCCTCCATGACTATGTAAAGTCCAAGAAATTTTTATTTTCTTGATGCCTTTTATACCAGGCATTAGCAGAAAAAGCCACCCATGAAAACGGTACTTCATTTTCCACTTACTATACAGGAGGGCAACCAGAGGCCTATCTGATAAGCTTTTGGCTCCCCTTTCACTGAACTCTGATGTCAACCCACTCATTACTTTAGCAGATGGTTTTGCTTTTTCACCAATACGAATGTCACTCACAAAAGTATTTACTTCCGTAAACTGAAGAAATTTAATTTATCTTTAATTTTAAATAGAGTTTTTTTTTTTTTAACATTTAGGAAATAAAGAATTTTTGTAAAAGCCCTAATTAAAATTCAACTAGTATTGACATTAAGCTACAAGTCCCTACACTACATCATTTGTGGGCATATTTACTAGGTATTAAACATGTATCTGCTTTAAGTTCATTCTAGATGTTTATATATATGATGTTATAAACAAAAAGTTTCTACAAGTTGTATCTAGCAGTAATCAGCTAATGAAATCAGGAATCCCACCTCAAAGGTGATTTTATTATTTGATCAATCAACCCAAGAATTATTTCTTTATCAACCTCTATGTTGCCTCAAATACAGGAGTAACTCTGGGCAATTTCCTCTTTAGATTAAAACAACTTGAAAGTAATAAAATACAAAATAGTAAATAGCCATATATCAGAGAGAATAACCAATTCAAAATAATCATAACAATTGGGAATAAACTACAAAGGAATAAATAATTGCACTGCACCTGAAGAACTAATTCAATTGGGCCAAGATTATATGAACCTCAGGGCACATGAAGCTTTAGAGAAGATACACCTAGATTTCGCAGGATTACAGCATTTTACTGTAGCAACTTGAAGCATGCAAGCTGATCCAGATTTTACTGGTCAGGTAGATCACCCATAGGTAGCTAATTGCTAAGGCATGTAGAGCTTTATAGGTGAGCCAACACTTTGAACTGTATTATCAGAATGCCACTCCTATCCCATCAGAGGTCATCCACAAGTATGGTCAGTACCATCTTGGTGTTCTACTCAAACTAATGGGACTTTTTTTCACCTATTTTTCACATATTACTAAAAGTTCCTCTTTCATATTCTGTTTTTATACAACAATCCTCCCCCCCTTTTGTATTCTGTTTTTACCTGCTTAGCCACTTTCAGACAGATAGCAGTAGTGCTAGCTAATCAGTAATGTTTTGTTTTAAGGCTTAAGCTGTAAGTGGAACTGTGATTGAGTAACTTTCCAGCCACACTATATTGAAAGCCTACATGGGTATCACACTGTTTTATCCTTATCCATGAATGTGACACAGCTGCAGCGGACCAACAAAACACTGCAGGAAGAAGTTCCTAGAAAGTTGATCAAGAGCTCTGCTTTAGAGGTCCTTGGCTAGGGACCTAAATTTATTTTAACTGGGTCCAAACTTATAACAACAGCAGAAAAGTGTCATCATGTATGCATTTGTCTTCTATATGAGCAGTACATTGAACTATAAATTAAAAAGGGAAACTTTTAGACATAAATGTCAGTGCAGGAATCATTGTGCAGGGAAATCTCATGAATGAACAATTAAATAGTAAATATGATCTTACTTCAAAAAAATCAAACATCTTACTCCAAAATCAATCTGACATGATTTACAATAATATAATGTATTGATGGGAAAATTTGATTCAGAGCATATGCTGTAGTTGAGGTGCCACTGACTATAATGCAATCTGTTTCACATTTTAGCTGAAATATGATCATGATAAATAATGTTCTAAGAGAAAGTTGAACTCTTTATTTAGATGAATTAAAGGAAACCTGAATATAAGATTCAGAGTTTGTATTAC